TTTTGTATCGCTCTTGAACTAACAGTCTTGATGTAAAAGATATTACTATATTACTTACTGTTTGGGGAGAAAAAGTAGTAGTTTTCACACTTTTTTCAGAGTGAACAATCAGCTCTCCATTTTTTCTCTGATTATAAACTTCTAAAGCATCAACAAACTGCACCCCTTTTGCAAAACAATGACGTTTTCTAACCTGCTGGGGAAAAAAAGTACTGTCTTCAAATACACCCGACAGAAGTATGTGCTTACACTAGCAGTCAGTGATTTCATTTCAACTGTTTTCCACTGAGTCTGTCTCAGTAACGTAGTGCATCACTAATATTTGTTAACAGTTTAACCAAATCTAAACCACACAAAAGTAAATTGGGAAAAGCGATAAAGTTTTAGTTACAAAATTCAGTAACAACAACAAAAAAATCTGTAATTATTGCTGAGCTTTTCCTCTTTAATTTCCCAGTTACAAAACCAATAGAAATTATAATGCTAAATAGATATAAGCAGAAAACTTCCATAACTTAAGCAAGAAATAAATTTAAGCCATGTTGATCTAAAAACTTAAAAGTAACCATCTGAGCAATACTCTAAAGCAGTGTAAAAGCTATTTACAGTGCACATCTGAATACAAGTACTAAGTCATGTGATACCAGTACTGACACAGATGAAAATGTTACAGAAATATTGCACTCCACATACTAGGTCAGAGATAACTACATTTGACAGGATATAAAATAGAACTCTAGCACATTCACAGTATTATTTGTATTTCTAATACATATTTGCAAGAGCACTTTCAACTCTAAAATCTCATAATTTGACTTAATATTACAGATCAACTGGGGATAAATATATTTTGGGGATATTAAATGTTTAAATATGCAAGATATAACTTAGGGCATGGTATAACAAACAATTTAGTGCAACAGTGGGCTTCTTTGTAACAAGTAACAATAACAATGAACAAAACCCTGTCAATCTAAACTATGACTGTGACATGAGTCAATGATTCTCTATGCCCTTCGCTGAAATGCCGATTGGTATTTGACAACAAAGCTGTTGACCTATGCTTGGATTATTTTATTGCCAATAAACTCTGCTCACCTGCTGCTCAGTTTCTAAAGGACGAATCCTTTTCCTGTCTACTTGAAAATCATCATTCCCATTGTCACATAGAGATAACCTTTTTTTGGCAGACAATTTTGAAGCTAGCGTTTCATTTTCCTTACATTCTGTAATTAAAAATAAAATAAAAGGTATGTCCACTACTAGCAATGCATTAAATAAGGGCAACATTTTAAAAACAGAATTTACTATAAATAGACATGATGTAGAAATAGGTATTTCTAGACCCACCAACCACCATTTCGACACAGATTGCCATGCAGGACAGAATCATGTAGGACTCTTCTATTATGATGGTAAAAAAGTCCCTGACTTGAAAGCAAAAAGATGGACATCAGTGGCTACGTATTTTACTACCAGAACAGATTTTTAGCTGCCTATGTATGAAGTTACCTGTGTTTGTTAGCAGATTTCCAGGTTTTATGGAACTTCCTGTTTTGTAACTATTAAAAGAACAAGAAGCACCATGATTCACATATGTTGCAGCCTCGTTGCTCTTAGATTGGGAATGGCACGTGCAGCGACATGGTGGTGAGGTCTCTGGCTTTCTGTCTTCCTTTTCACATGACGATGTAAGCAGTGATTTCTCTGAAGGACACAGCCATTTGTCTTCCATTAAAAACTACTCAAGACTATACATGAGAACTAAACTTCCCAAACAGTTAAGATGAAATATTTTATTTAGGTACAGTTATAAACCTTGTGTCTCTACAAAGTCTGAAGAAGCTACCATCACCCTTTGAGGAACTGCAGTACAAAGAACTGTAACAACTTGCAGAACTGAAAAATACCCCTTTTTTTCAATTCAGTCTGCATAACTACAATCCACAAGTACTTTCTTTCGAAGTTCCAACAGTCATATAATTCCTTTATGATAACTGATAGCTAAATCCATCTTTGTATTACTGGCCATTACTATTTTATGTTGCCAATAAGGCAATATGCGTAACAGTGGACAAAGACCTGGTTAGATTCCTGACACGGAATGTTTAAAGTCTGATAAAGAACAACAGCAACTCATGATAATATATTTTGGTAATAAGTGGGCAAACAGACACTACGAAAACTTACCATACAGAGACTGCTGCCATGATAATGCAGAACAAAGTAATGCCAAGCTTTTGCCACTCCCTGTAGGACTCTCCAACAAACAGTGTTGCCTGCTATTTAAGCCCTTAACAATCTTCAAGAAGAATAACAAGAACAAAACCGGAATTAATAGAAAAAAAAACCAATGAGGATGTCTTTAACTAAGCTGGAAATAGCCTCTAAAAATAGATCAGGATACCTGCCATCTTAAAAAAAAAAAAAAAAAAAAACACAACCACCCCACACACCCCAATCACATTTAATAATAACAGCAGGTCAACAAGCCTTAGTTGCATTTCTTCCAAGAGGAACACGTCTCAACAGCAATGTTCAGAGGTTCACTTACAGGGGGCTGTGAAATACTTACTGCTAACAGCAATACCTGATGGGGCTGCCTTGATTCCTTTAGTCTTACAGAACCAAAACACTGAAAACATGTCAGACAACCAAACCATTTGCCCCACAAAGTGTTTAAAAATGCTTAAAAATGTTCAAATGTAAAGTGTAATAATTCCTTTTTAAAAACCCTCCAAAAAGTGAAAATTTACTGAAATATTATGTCCTGTTTAAAATACAGATGTTTTCCTAAATCATTTCCTCCTTATATACTTGCAAGATTATATAAAGTTTCTATTACAGTATATCTAGTTCAGTAATCATATATATTATATAATCCATAACTTGCTTCTTAGCATAAATGTTCACAAAACCAAAATGTACTTCAGCATTGCCTAGTTGTGGGCCAGGTATCACTGTACAGCACAGAGAACAGTAAGTTACAACTGAAATTCTCAAGATACTGGAGGGTCTGAAAACATAAGCTATTCATTTATCAAACGTTAATATAAATTCTACTTACAGCATTCATCATAGCAAGTTGTGAAGGGTAAGCCTTGCAGGGGAATATAATCTTCACTCCCCCAATAGTATATTCTGACACATCAGAAGACATTGCCACTTTCTCCTCCTGGCTACTTCAGGTTTATTACTGCAATAAAAAACAGTATTAACAAGTCAACACTAACAATCAGACAAAGCCTGAAACAACATATGGCACCAAACAAAAACAAGCAGAAACTGCTAGCCTGATAAGGGGGCTAAGCAGTTCAGGGTATTCCCAGAACCTGCATGCAGCTATCTGTACCACACACTGTCAGTTCAGACTCAGTCCCTGTTACACAGGAGCAAGTTGCCACCATTTGATGAGTAACATCAGCAATTTAAGTAAAAGTATGAATGACCTCCAAACATCATTTCAAATTCTATTCCTCATACTGAATAACTTGGGTAAGAACCCAAATCCTTACAGGAAAAGTATTTTAGGATATTTAAAAATAGCCAGTTTTTCAATTCTGCAGGTTCACTAGCTTTAACTCCAAGACATTGCAAACTACAAAGACACAGCAGACAACAGTAGCCTATACTGTTCATTTCATAACAACGAGAAAATAAAACTCGACTTTAGAAATGAAATGTTTTAAACCAACGTTTTTCTTCCACTAGTAATACTGTAATTATTCAGGGGAAAATAAGGTGTCGTTCACTTCACTACTCTGTGAGCATTGCCTTGCATTTCTCTGTCTGGACAATAAAAGGAAGGCAGTTTCCCTATCGTGCTAAAATGTTGAATTTACCCAATTAAAAACACCAAAGATGCATAGACAGCTTTAAAAAAGGACATTTTTAAAAACAACACAGAGGCAGGTTTTCTTATAGGTTTTTAGCATCTACACAATAAAAAGAGAAATTTTAATTTGGCAGGTTCCCTGTGACAAATTAACTCACTAACCTGCGTCCTCATTTGACTTTTAATGAGTAAGTATATACACCAAAAACACACCAATGCATGGCATGATTTAGCTTCATCATCAGCTTTCTCAACATGAAAAAGAAACCCTAGCAAAAAGAAATGGCTAACGTGAGTTTACCTCCTACCCCTCCTTCCAAAAATGTAACCGCACCCCATTAAAAGGCTTCTCCCTAATACATTTGGCGGGGGGTAGAGGTGTTCGCTTAAACGAGCGCTATTTCCCATGGAGCTTTCCTACATAAAAGCAAGCCTCGGCCGCGGCGGAGGAAAAGATCCAACGCCAAACGGGGCAGGGAGCGGCAACGGGCCGGCACCCCGGGAACACGGCGGGACCCTTCGTCCCGGTCTGCTCCGCTGCGCCCGGGAGCACTAAGGAAAGTGCGTCTCGTCTCGTCTCGCCTCGTCCCGCCCCAGCCTACACAGAAGCACCTGGGCGTTTCCTTTATCTTCTTTAAGAGGTAGGGACCCCCAGAAAGCCGCTTCGCTCACACCCCACGCGACCCCGGCCCCCTCACGGCCGCGCTGCGCCCCGCGGAAGGCGACGAGCGGCGCCATGCGGCAGCTCACCTCAGGCGACGGCGGCCCCGCTTAGCGTCCGTCCTTCCCGCCTCCGCCCCGCCGCCAATCAGCTGACAGGAAAGGGCCCCGAGCCGCCAATCAGCAAACGGCAGAGCGAGACGTCCCCGCCTTCCGCCTCTGCGCTATCCGAACCAATCACCGAGGGCCTTGTTCGCTTCCGGGTTGCGCTCGTTGCTGGGCAACCACGCGTTTACCGTCTGGGAATGGTAGCGCAAAATAGTTAAGTCAAGTCAGTGGCTTTTAAATATCGCCACGCACGAAAGCCCCTGGAAGCGAATGCCTCGGTCCTTTTGTTCCCGAGGGGTAGTTCTGCGCCCCGGGGCAGCATCCCTCTGGTTCTACTGGGTACAACTCTGGCAAACTTAAACCAGGCACCTGCCTTCAAAATCAAGTCATACACTTGTTTCTTTTCTTTTTTATTTAAATACCACTACAGCATATAAAATTACACTTAAAACAGAGGGCAAAAAAATACATACATTAAGATTATTTACATACTTTACATCGAGATGACAAAAATACACTTGGTAGCCAGATGGTATTACGGGGTGGTTACAGCACGCTGGTAATTCTGGAATGCAAACCCAAGTGTGTTTGGCAATTCAGTATTGGCCTTCCTAAATCACTGTCCAACACAGGCAGAAGACAAGATATGCAAGATCTTTCCCAAGGCCACACTAAAGAATCAGACCACTAATTTCTGGGATATAAACTGGTTTTAATTGAAAAATATTTTACTTATTTAAGGAACCTGGATGTTGTCTTTTAAGAGAAAAGTAAGTGATAGATTGACAAGTGTAGCAATTCAAGTGTGTTGAAGGACTACATTCACTTCTGGCACAACAGCCAAACCTTAATGTTCTTTCTCTGCCACAAAAGCATGTGCTGCCTCATGTAAGTGCTTGTGCAACCTTCAAGAAACTCCCAAATATTGCACCACACACCCCCTTCTGCAGTGCCACAGAACATAGCTGTTGAGGCTAAATCCTGCAGCTTTTGTCTATGAAAGAACAACCAACTTTATGTGTGAAGCACAAAGGATTCAGCCTTCTTGTCCACTGAGCTGCATGTAACCGCTCTGATATGGCTGAAATCTGTCATTCCTTTCATTACAGTGAAATTTAGCTCCTGTCAGTCACCCTCAACACTAATGTCTTTTTTTAATCTTATCCTGATGACAATTTAAGATACTTTTGCACTTATTTCCTGAAGTCTTTCTCATCTCTTTTAAACCATGCGATGTTAAAAAATACTAAACCATCTGAGCTGCATGCAAAATACATATTCTTTAAAAATCACATTGATACAGCTCATTTCATACTACTAGTACTTTTTTTAAAAGAAACATTTAGACCAGTTTCAAACTGCTAATGAAGGCTGGCTGATCTTTAAATGAAGTTCCTGATTTCATGAACTGAAACCTTGACCAATAGTTTGAAACACAAATAGCAAAAGGTTAAAGCATTTTCTTAGTTATCAGTGTGATGGTGCAAATTACTTAACCCACTTTTTCAAGTCCTCCTTGGAGTATTTTATTCCATCTTGCTCTGCAAGGCTCTGGAACAGTAGTTCATTTATCTTAAGCAAAGCACGTCAATCTCAAATTTTTCTTACCCATCATTTTGGTGTTTTCTCAACAAATTGAGTATTCAGTTTTCACAGTGTTATAAAACCCTTTTGGGTGTTGCTGTATCACTTCAGAAACAGAGCAAGCCTGAAAATCACGCTTAGTTTTCACTTAAAATTACTCACCAACCCCATCAGCCTCAAAAGTTTTCACTGGAAGCAACATAAGCCTCTTTTAAAGAGTTATTTTCTTTTCAGCCATAACTGAATCAAATGAATGAAAAACGTGGACTTCTTGTGCTCCAGTTCCTCAGTCCACTTTTGCAGCCTTCTCCAAACTTAGGCACCACAGACCGTGGGACTAGCTAGAGTACAATTTAATTTGTGTTATTCCTAAACTCCACTTACGCTCATGTTAATTATTTCAATGATAGTATTTTCAACACACTGGCATAACTGAACATCAGGGTCCATGCTTGAAATGTCACTTGAACAACTTTTGTTAGATGAATCTTTACAAAGTCCTGACACTTCATGTGGTTTCTCCTTTAGTTGCTGGAGACCTACAAAATTAAGTAGAAGCAGCAAAGTACATATAAAAAAATAATTTTTTTAAATGGTTATATTATATCCACAACACAAACAGGTATGTTATGAAATTGCAAATTTGAGCCATCACTATTTCATGCACCAGGCTTAACTCCACAGATTATTTCTAGAGACACTATGACATTTCTTTTTCATTTACCTATGTCTGACTCCTTTGGGGTTTTTTACATTCTCTCTTACTTCTTTTAACATAAATATCCTAGCATAGATAGCATCAGGGACCCCCGTATCACATTAACAGAACGTTTGTCTTTAGACAAGATGCAAAAATAGGCTCAAGATCAACTGATATGCTTAAACGGTTCACCTGTGTTCACACAATCACTCTATGTTAATCCAACCATGCTAGATCATGTGTAAGACTTCAGGTAGCTCATTTGACTTTGCATTTCCAACTGATTAGGAAGATTTTTATGGCCATTATGCCTCAGTTGAGGGGTTGAAATGTCCTTGTGTTCTCAAAAGCCAATGGCCTTTGCTCACCTCTTTAATCCTTAGACTACAATGGCAAATTCTATGCACAACACCTGCATGCTGTGATCCATCTTGAAATGATACAAGCAGGGAAATAAACCAGAAGGAAGGCAGTACAAAGTTTAATAAAAGGAGTACTTTCAGCCCCTGTAGCCTCTCAACTCTCTCCTCCAATTCCATAATTCCACTTATCCCTAATTCCGTCTTTATTTACAAGACAATAGCAGTAAATCTAATGCTGCATTACAACCACACTCAGACTTTTGAAACATTAACAAAATTTTCACCCCAGGACCACAATGTTACTTTTGAAATACAAGGTACTTGACTTACGTGTAATAATTGGGTCAAAGTCTCTCGTCTGTGTAGCAACATCAGAGGCACAAACTTGTCCTATTTGTATCAGCAGAGACATAATATCCTCATACAAAGGAGGAAAGGCTTGACAGAATGACACCAAACAAGGCAAGGTCGGCATAAAAAAAGCATAGCGCTTCGATTGGGTTAAAACTATCAAGGAAAAGGAAATGGTTAAGTAAAAGGGAATTATTATAAAAATCCAGATGAGAATTGTTGTTACTTTTACTGTAATTAACACAGTGGCATTTAGACAAAATTGCATTCAACCTAGACAACTAATTCTAATGTACACAATAATGTATTTAGGGGTTGGTGGAGTGCTTACCCGTGAGTAGGGTTCCCATCACATTGATAGCTAAACGAGCCACACTGAGAGATTTAGGTAGTGCATACTGGATACACAAAAATGAAAGTAACTGGATGGCAAATATCTGTTAAGTAGGTGAAAGGCAAAAGAGAAATAAGCAATAAAGTTACAGAGTGCTTTGACCTTTCTATTCAGAGCTCTTCACCTAACTTATGAGTTGGTAAATATTCTCTTATTCTAGCAGTGAGGAAACAAAAGCCAGAGAAGCCTCAAAAACAGTTATTCTGAATTTTTCTGCTGACATCAAGAAAAAAACCCCACACATATTTAACATTAATCAAAGTACTAGCATCAGTGTTTCAGAATTGCCCCCCACAAACCCAGTTTGTTCCAACATTAACAATAAGCAACAAAGCAACACATAATTTACAATATAACCCTTATAAAAGCTGTTTAAAGTCCAATGTGTTTTAGTTTTGAGTGTCCTCCCATCAACAGTAACTTAATATTTGAGAAGGGATTAAATAAGAACAGCTACAAAGCCAGCTTGATATAGAAAACAAGAGAAATCTTTAGCCCAACAAATTCTAGTTACCTACAACCAGCCAAATATGTAATCTCCTCTTGTCACAGTATACTCAATCAGGTTCTACAAATTGGTTTAGAAAGTAGTAATAAATGATTATTTGCCATTGTTTTTCATAATCACTATGAGAAGACCTTCAAAAATATTGGCGAAACATTTCAGAATCAAACTCCTGACTCCCCCTTTGCTGAGCTTGTAGTGAGAAGAAACCATCATTCTTCAGATTGAAATAGCAGAACTTTGAGGAAAGCCACACATGTCATTCTAGCAGGCTTTGCTCTTGCAGTTAGACCAGGGAAAGAACTGGTAAGACAACTGGCAAAGGAGAAATTTAAATTGATTTAGAAATATATGCCTTATTGTTTTGTCCCAAGCTTGCTTCAAGAAACAGTAGTAATACTCCCTGGAGAAAGACATAGTAGTCAAGCTTTTCATGAGAATGAGTAAAATTTTGATGTTACAGCTGCTTCATCTATTTTACAGAATATCTTTGCAAAAGGTTTTCAAAATCTTAGTAGGCAAAACTTTTGCCAACTAATTTATACTCAACATAAAGAAGGAATCAAAGTCATTATTGAAAAGCACTTTTTTTCATGTTCTCGAAGGCAATATTGAAATTCACAAGTACTTCCTGAAAAAGTGTCCAGAGATACATCAGAGGAGTTGTCACAATCCCTGTCTGAAGATGATTTAAAGGCTGGGCCTTTAATTTAAGGTAACAGTGCTACAAATACTACTTTAATATCCTACGCAAGTTAGAACAGGTCTTTTTTTAGTGATCCTTTTGTTTTCTCCCCTTAACCAATACTTCATCAGGGTTAACTACTTGCAGTGATTCTCAAACTAGATGACTGTACAGTACCTGTTTTTCAAGTTCAGGCTGGGCAATGAGCTCCGGTATGAAATCCAGACAGATGTGCATCGATGGAATCCCTGCCACTGTCAGTGCCAGAAGTTCACATGGATAACCCTGTGTGATTAAGAAAACAGGTATGTCAGAGGTGTTTTAAAAATTCTGCTTCCATTAAGATTTTTTAATTAAATCTGCATTAACACTTTTTTCAAAGCTAATATACTTGTAAATCTCTTCTGTTCAGAATTATAAGCAACAGACCTGTATCCCAAGGCAACATGAGGCTGGCTGGGTGACAAAACCAGTTTCAATCAGTTCTTTATCCTCAATATGCAATGTATTATTTGCATATACACTCCCTTTCCACTCCCTAAACTAAACGAGGCTGCAGTGACCCTTTCTTCTTTCTGTGTCTTTCCCCTGCATTCCAAACTTCACCATAGGCCTCAACTTGCTTAATTCACAAGTGCACAATTATGACTTTTTTAACACTTAATCAGTTCCAGGTCAAGGCAAATTAACTCCTTTTAGAGAGACTACCATCTGGCAATGAGCAATTTAACACACACTAAAAACACATTTATATTAAAAAATTTACTAATCTTTCCCTTCTTCCTTTTTTGAAGGCGTACAGCTGCTTTGGCAGGGGCAACTTTTCGCCTTCCACTCTAAAGAGATAAATTGTGCCTTAATAAAAAGGAAAAATAAGGAGATGTTTACATTTGAAGCCAAATTACAGTTTTGAACAATGGGTATACTGATTTAAAAACATGGCCAGAAAAAAGTAACCCATAAAAGATGTGGAACAAGTATTATAAGATGATTAGGCCAGTTTTCCTTGGCCTAGAAGGGACAAATTATTTTGGTATAAAAAAGGGCAGAGGCACAAAGCAAGCGTGTGTTTAATGATGAGTAACAGGCATAGTTTAGGTGCTCCCTTCTCGGCTACAACACACAGTCCAAGAACTGAAATATGGGAGAAAGGTAGGTACCACAAATTTGGCAAGATGGGAAGCAGAGAAGTGGGCCATTACAATTTCTGAGGAACACAACAACAGCATTTAACATCCTGTGACTGCTTCATTTGGTTCTTTCTTAACCAAAGGAACCATGAAAGAATTAAAACAGTGCAAAGCAGACCTGGAAATGAACTAGTTTGACTATGTTGGGATCAGCTATATACATCTGATGCAGTAGACAGCAGATCAGACACTGGACCTCTCGAAGATTACACAGCAAGCTATCTTCTTCCTCTAGTTCAGGACTCTTAGGTCCTATGGTACTATGAACACTCTTTAGCAAACTGTGGGTATGACTGCTCTGGGCTTTCTCTTCTTCTGTAGGCAAGCAGATCTCTAGAAGAATCTGCACAGCAGCACTGTCCTGTGAAGAAAATAAGCAACAGAACATGCATAAAAACCCCACAATGAAATCAAAGAAATCCAAGTAATGACAATTTAAGATATGGTGGCTAGAATTTCTGGCTGTAGTTTTTTTTTTATATAAAATAAAAACAACTCAGTTCAAGAATCACAAATCCTGTAGAACATTAAAAATACCCCAACAGAACTGAATCAAGACTCAAAGAAAAAAAGCTTAAATACAACAGAGATTCATAATCTCAGTTCAAAAGAGTAAATTCAGCAGAATCTTGTATTGTCTCAAAATAAATATCCAAACATCCCTTAAAGCATCCAGATCAGACAAAACACGCACACGGTCATGTAACTGACAGTATTCAGGAGAGACTACACATTTAAATGAAACTCAAAAATCATCTTCTAATAAGGACTATGTATGTGACATCCTTTCAGACAGCGGTAAGAGACTGTCTGTGAAATAGGATTACTCAAGAATTCCCATAATGTCAAGCTAAGTAAGTTAATCATTCTTCAGCCTCACACTTTACAACGCTAGCTGCTTCTCTTTAATAACATAGTACAAACGATCATGCATCAGTCTGTCACATTTATTCATGTTTTACTGCTCCAAATCTAAGTACAGAAAGAATCTCTGGATAACACAAGCAACGAGGCAAAAGGGCTAGTAAGCAAAACTCTTCTGGTCTAACAAAAAAGAACACTACCAAAGCAGTTAATCAACAAAATGCTTCAGATTAGAAAACAGAAGACTGAAAATATTTAACAATCTGAATACAGAGACAGTTTTCTTTTTCATGGTAACAGATGCTGGTAAAAAAATAAGTAAAAAGGTCTCCTTTTTTAATTTCCTGTTTCTTTATTTATATCATTGCTTTTTCCTCACATCATTTAATATCCATTTCTTTCCCCTTACCTGAGCAGCAAGCAATGCATTTTTTAATTCTTCCCTTGTAACTTCTGGGGCCTCTGGACCCATTGCATTGTTTTGGGATGGCCTAATGTCCTGCTCTGCTGTTTCTTTTAGGTGAGAATTGAGGTAAGCTTTTGAAGCAAGAAGATATCCGTTCAACATGTGCAAAGTTATATCCATCAGGGGAGGACTCCTGATACAGGAATACATGACAAAATAAAGGCATTTCAGTAGGTAGAACAGTAAGACAGCAATAATATGAACAAACTAAAAGCACTCCTCAAAAGCTCATTTGGTTGTAGTCCACAGCTGTCTTCCCTAACACAGCAAAACACTAAAGGTCACAATTCCTTCTGCTGCCCTGCCATTCAGTCCTACTTCTCTCATGCACACACGTGTATGTGTACACTCTACAAAACCAAGGAACTGATGAAGAGACTAATTTCTGATGAACAAAGGAAGCCCAAAAAGTGTTGGCTGTACGTGAAGTAAGGAAAAATAATTATCTGAATAATGGGCAAAAATAAGGCAGACAAGATTTGAGCTACTTCCACAATACTAAGATGATAGTTTTCACATCACATTGCATTATAAATCTCTCTAACAGTTTTAGAAATGTAGGAGTTTCAATTTGCATCCTGAGCTGAAGGGACATACATTTAAACATTTCACCTACGGGTTGGGGATTAAAGATGTCATCAACAGAGACTTGCTAAAAGGCAGGGGGGGGACAGATGCATACAAACAAGAACATGAGGAACAAATAAAGTTGACTATTAGCATTTATTATGAACAAAAGGATAATAAAAAAGGGGAAAAATAAATCACAACTGACAGAAAACGTGAAAAAGAATACAGAAGGAATAAAGCTGGGGGCTAAAGTACATTTAAAATAATTATCCATATCTTTTTAGAATAACAGATGCAATTTTCTTGATTACTATGAAAAAGCAGTTATAATTTACAAATTCTGACTTGCTGTTTGCATTATTTCATATTCTCCTTAAAAGCTGGTCTGTTGCTATCGATTATGACCATTTTCACTACTTAAATTCTCAGCGTACTTGTCTGCACCAGAGCCATAAAGCAGTATTACACATCCTCCTCTGTCATCACTGACATCTAGAGGAACTAATTTCTAAGTACTAGTAAAAGACCTTCTTGGGAAATTAAACAAATCTACCTTTGTCATATTCATCAAGCACCCACTGGCAGAAACTGTTATGCACAATGATGGAATACCTGCAGGCCCATGAGGTGAGGGATGGCAAATGACTGTGCAGTGGAAGGACGTTACAGCTACAACCTCAACCACCACCACCACCATGTGGCAGCAGCCATTTTAAGCATGCTGCAACGTCTACTTAGAACAAATTCACACACACAAATCTAAAATGGATGACCTATGTACAAATCCCAAAGTTTCCAAAATAGAACTGGGTGTGAGGTTGTCCAACACCACACTCAGCTGGACAGTATGACATGCTGAAACAGCTCACTCAGTCATCAGACCAACAAGCTTAATACAAAAAAAGACAGAAGCTCATATGATTATTTTGAAAATACGTTTTGAGGTATTGAAAGCTTTTAGAAGTTTTCTATGAGACACCTTTATGTTTAGCATTCAATATGTATGAATGTAAGTACCACAGAACATAAAACGCTAAAGAAGGGAGATGCTTACCTATGAACTCTCGGATCACATCTTAGTACAATCAAAGGATCAATCATCAGATCATTCTGAGTGTATTTCTGCTGTCGGACTATTTTTGCCGAAGGCTGTAGAGCATTAACAGTCATCACCCACAATCTAAAATGAGATTATTTTTAAGACTTTTTAATAGATAATCTGTATGAGAAAAGGGATTGCATAGGCACCTAGACACTCGCTTAGCTCAGCTGTATTCTTCTAGGCCTATCAAGGAGCAAAAACCCCGTATTTCATTTGTAGCCCTTGAAGTTAACCAAGACACAGTTAACTTACATTCACTGGAATTACAGCAACCACACTGTTTTCACTGCAACAGAGCATCAACTTCCTCAAGAAGGGCATGTTTTTACTGGACTGAGTTTGTGTTTCATCAGTAATTCATCATAAACCATGTATGCTATAAACCCATACTCCTATATTTTAAGCAAACTGGTGACTTCCTTTCCCCTGAGAACAAGAAGCACCTTCTCTTTTAAATGCAAAAGTTGAAAATTTCAACAAAATGAAAAGGAATGCAACTCCAACATATTCTATTCAGTAACAACCTCCAATCTCCCAGGCAAAGGCACTGCGTCATTAGTTCTGAAACAGAAAGTGGCATTCCACCTATCTGCAACAACAAATTAAACACTATTTTGAGCCTACCTTCTTGGCATCACAGTGTTAAGAACCATCCAAAGTTTATTGACAGTCTGAAGAATCCTCCGAGGGACTCCAGCATTCAGCAAGCGATTCATATTTGATGTCAATACTTCTGCATATGGGATCAATTCACCAGCTGAGAGAAGCGTTAAATGTTCTAAAATCTGCATCAGCTGGGTATGGTTTCCAGGCAGCATGGAAAATGCTATAAAATAAAGACAATGGGATCTGAATAAAACTGGACTTCTGACATTTATTGTGACTTGGCAGCAGAACATTTTCATTATACAAATGCAGTATGATCAAATTAATTAAACGGCTACACACTTCCAGACCCTCTATATCCCAACCAATTTGGAAAGAACCCTGCTTACTTCACATGAAGTTATTTACCTTCCTGGAGCTGTACGGGAGAGTGATTCTTCGCAATGTTTGTAAGAAGCATCCTCCTCAGTAAGGCATCAGTGCCCGTGATCTGTTCCTCACAGATCCAGTCTTCCACAATGCAGAGGTGTGGATAGTTAGTTGCAAGAAGGCGCAACAGTGCGGAATGCAAGCCTTTAGGGGTATTAAGAAAGTGTACATCTCAGATTTAAGTAGCTACATCCTTCACCTGAACATATCTATGCCTATCATTTCAACAACAGACATTAACTGAATCACTGCCGAGAAGTTCAGTGACCTTGCATGTTTATAGCCTGATATTCTAAGTCCAACAGAAGGGAAAAGTTACCTTTTGGAAAGGTGGGAGGACCCTATAGTAACTCTCAAATTCAGCCTGGAATAATTATGAATTCTCAGGCAATACCAACTCTAAAACCTACCCTAAGTAGGTAAGACCTGCTCTAAAAAGAGCTGTCTTCCTCAAACTTTCCCTATTACTCTTCAAACATATCTGTATTCTCACTAGGTACTACTGACATTTTCAAAGAAAGAGAAAGGAAGGCACACTACAAAAGAAATGATAGCCACAGAACTGGAAACAGGCTTAGCCTTCCTTTTTCACGCACATTAGGACTTTCACACACTGATATACCTCCCAGTTCCTGCTGCAGTCCTTGTGCCTGCCGGATGAGGTACTTGATTGGAATCTGATCCATTAATGCTGAAGAGTAAGACTTGGGTTTTTTCTGCATGGCAGCTATAAGGGAACAGGACAAGAAACCACGTGTAATGGTTATAGTTGAAAAAAATTATTTCCCCCACTGAACAAATAAAGAAAATGTAAAGCACTCGTCTCTGTATTATCAAGGTAAAATAGAGAAAATCCCAAATAACACACCTCATTCCTGTTAAAGTATTAAATTAAGCTCTTCAGGAAACCATTTCTGTGAACATTTACATTTAAAGATTTTCCTGGCCTTTAGATTTGTTGCAAGATCTCCATACTATCTTTCACCAAGACCAACTGATATTGAGATCACAACAAATCATCACTTTCTTTATCCAAGGTTTTTTATTCTTAAATAAAACCCAGTTATCAGTTGGTACATGGAATTCAAACACCCAACACCCTGTAGCGAGGTGGAAGTTAGTTATACATGCAGGAAGAACTGTAACTGATTTTATTTCAGTCTTTCTCTAATAGCATGAAGAAAATAGCACTAATGAATGCTCCAGTTTTGCACCCTAAGAAGAGCAGGTAAAAACAGCCATCAGATATAAAACACTATTTCACTGAAATTAAACTCCATCAATAAACTATACGACATTCTCTTAGAATCGATTTGAAGTCTCATCTTCAAAGGTAAAAAGGAATCATTCAGTATTGTCAGCTATAAAATTGCCAACCCAAAGAAATGTGTGAGCAAGTTTGATGACACATGAATAAATGAAGATCTAAAGTAACTAAGAAGTCTTTGTTAATTGTTGCTGTATTTATTATATGGTCATAAACATTTCCAGTAACTTTTGGGCCAGTTTGTACCTTTTTTAACCTGGAAAACAAATTATTCAACTACAGAGTTTTAGCAGAAACTTTATCTCCTGAATTTCTACAGCAATGCTGTATTTATTACAAGAATCTAACTTTTTATGCTATGCTTGAATCTGACAGCATCATGAATTTTCTGTTATTGTAAGAATTCGTCTCTTTGCATCCAATTTTCAGTTAATTTGTTTTCCACTAATACACTCACTTATACCTAGTATCTTTGTATTTGCCAGAAGTGCTTCTTCGTACGACAGGACATAGTAGAGGACAAGCAATTGTGTTGTGATGCTGTATCGTTGAGTAAGACGAGTATTTTCTCCCTGTACATAAAACCACATACAAAGGTCATGTTGCATTCCTGATTCTTGAGAACAAAAATTTGGATTTACCTGCAAATATGAAGAAAGATAAGGCAGTAAGCCTTGTACAAAAATATCAAGCCATGAGGTCCAAGCTGAAAGTTGCAGGGGGCGTGGGGGATTCTAACTGGGTTTTTTTTTGTTTTTTTCCTAAAGGAGCTTCAAACATAAAAGGGATCTGTGGTATCCTGGGACGCTAATAGGGAGTAATCCCAGGATTCCAGTCCAAGTCAATGCTTGCCACTCATTCTACATGTGTCCAAGTGACCATTCTCATATTTCTATAAAAATGCTTCTTTCAAAAACAGTTACAGTGCTAGTATTTTTATCTAACAAGATCAAGTTGTTACAAAAATTATACAAATCCTACATAAACACCTCTACTTTTCAAGCCACGAAGTGCTTTACTTTGCATTTTTAACAGCATGAGTTGGTGAGTTCCCAAGAAAAAGGGCAAACCAGAGACAAATAACAATCCTCCTAAAAATCCAAGTAGCACTAACAAGATTCAATTCAAAACACATGACCATCACTGTAGTAGGAGGCAGTCTACCATATAAGCATTAAAAACAAAAAGAGAAGCAACTTAGAGAATCTGCATCAAGCATATACACAAAGTACTGAACCACACTTTCACATTAAAGTACATGAAAGAAGCAAACCAATCATTTACCCCAGAGAGTCCTTGAAAAACATTCAGTATCTCCTGTTCCGTGACAGGCTGATTTGTGGCCTCTGGGTTGGATTTGGATGCAGGAGTAAGGATAGAGTTAATGTAGACATCGATAAGAGGGAGCAACTGAGGATGGAGTGGAGTGGTGGTTTCACAGAGCTGCCGATAGATCCAGTCCTAGGAAAATAATGCCATTACATCTTCAGTTTCAAAGCTGAAGGGCATTTTTTTTGTCTGCAAGTACACCCGCTTTTAACTAGTTACAAAAAATGTAACCGATAAGACTTTGACTTTGGAAAGTGTAATACCAGTTCTGAGTTGGGCCTGGTCATAAACTGTGGTCATAAACTGGACTCTGCTCTGTACAGACCCACCAGTAAAACTTGTCCTGGCTAGAAATATCATTTGACTACAATTTTAAGTGCAGACACACGGAGAGAGATAGCTTTCTTATTATTTTTAATTTTACTAAATTGAGGTCTCTGGATTACAGAGCTAAAAATGGGTACCCTAACTTAATACACAGTTCCTCCTTAAATTAAACGGTAATAGGCTATAAGATTAATCAAAAATTCTGTTCCTGTAATTCAACCAAAAAACCCAGTCTCCAAAACCTTGTCAACATTCAAAATGACAAACAGAAATAAAATGAAGGTCATACCTTAATGGATACTTTGTGTTTGGTGAATGATCGACTTTTTAAAAGCTGGTAAATGCAGTGAATAGGTAAAAACCCAGTAATGTTGGCACTGAGATTCCCTGTAACAGGCACACGAACTGCGTGAGCTGTAACAACCTAAAGGAAAGTTATAATTAACAAGAAAAATACCACAAACATTCAACATATCACAATGCATGAGCATAAGGTGAAAAGGTTGCACAGCTACATTCTTTCTGGCATTTATTTATTTTTAGTTGTTTGGAAGCTGAAGAACATTTTTATGTAGTTTAATGAAGTATGTGTAAAGCAACAGCACGCATACTACATCTGTGAATTATTTCTTGCTACTGCAAAAAATATTGTCATAGTGGACAATCCTCCTTTGCTTCCCCATTGTTTAGAAAAGCCAAGTGTTCAAAAAGCATAATCAGATCGGAGTACAAAAAGAAAGATCCAAGGCTCTTCAGTACCAGCAGGGCTTGAATTCTTGTAAGTCAAACTGAAGAGTTTACAGATTTAGAAAAAAAAAAAACAAAAAAAACTTTAGGCTTAAAATACCTGTTCGGTGAAAATCTCCTGTGTGAAGATTGTCTTCATTCTGCTGAGTGAGCTGGGTTTAATAACAATCTGAAATATAGAACAAAGTACTTGTAATTTTACGTTCCAGCTTTCCTGTAGTACTGCATACTAAGTACTGCAAATTTATTTTATAAATTGTTAACTTTTAGCCTTTGTAATCTTGTCTCCATTAGGGTACCAGGAAAACATTCACATCTATACTTCAAACACGAAACAAAAATATTTTCAAATGTCACAAGTTCATCACCCCACGTCTTCCTTATCCTAAAAACTATCTACCTAGCTTTTACATTTGATGAGACACTGTTTTATGATAATAAACTGATGGCAGGTCTCCCTCAGTAATTTTCAGCAATTAATTATTACGTATATAGACAGTTCTGTATCAAGAGGTATGCATACTTTAATGTTTTTCTAGATTAACTAATTTAGTTGTTACCCATTTTTTTACTTCACATTCGCTTCAAGCATATTAGCAAACCCAAAATTCTTTATATCAAAATGGAAATAAATACAAGAATATAAATACACAGTAAAAAGTTAATTTTAACAGAGAAATGTATGTGCTAGAAACAGTTTAGCATTTACCTTCATTCCCAAGGTGGAGCAGACCAAATCAATGATAGCACTGAGCTGATTACTATGGAAATACATGGCTACCAAGAGAAGCATCTCTCCAAAAGAAGCAGACACACCAGAAATGCTAATGATAACAAAGAAAAAGGGTTAATTTCCAATAGGACATTAAAGTAAATGTGAGATTACTGGAATCAATAAAAATAAAATAAGCCTGCTCTCACCTTTCAAAGTAAGCTTCTTCCTTTATCATCCAACTAAGCCACATTACCATGAGTTGCTCCTGTTCCGGGGTGCTGCATAAAGAAAATTCATAGATCTTTTTCCCAGGAACTACTCCTAGTTTTACTGACAATTTCTAGCAGAAAAGCCAGTATTTGAGGAATCTTACACCAGAAGATTTATTGTCACTTTTGATTTTGCATCAAACGGCTGATAAGCACTGATATTTAGCACAAACTTTGGTCCAGCTGTCAGGTAACTTCCTGTCTGGAACACACACAGTGGAAAGCTACAGCCATTAAATTCCTATATTGCTACTCTTTTGAACAGGGTCTCTGTGAAGAATTTAGCCATAAACTTGTTCAATGGAAAAGCGAACTAGTAAGGCCTACTTTAGCCTTCAAAACCCATTCCAAACTAAGCTAATGCCGATGCTTCCCTCTCAAAAGATTTGCTATAAACAAGAGGGAGAGCAGAGCAGAATCTCAATTTACTCACCATAGTGTGAGGCAAATCCCTTCAACCAACATATGGAGATTTGTATAAAGAATTAGGAAAGACAAACTGTGCAGCTCTAGGGAGGTCATTGCCTTAACACTACTAAAACAGTAACATCTTTACGAAGTTCCTCCTTTATTGAGAGGTACCTGACAAGAGTGGAGAAGGCCAGAAGCATACAAAAGGAAAGAGATACAAAGCGAACACCAGCTGGAGTTGCGGGAGGCCGGCTGGTCATCAGCTGCAGTAGCTGTTCAGCTTCTTCATCAGTTGGTCTAAATAGGACAGAAGTACAAAACCCATGCTGCTTATTTAAAAGTGAAGAGATTTCCAATCTCATCACAATGGTTAAAGTTTCAATTTTATCAGTTACTTAATCTGTTTACTGAGTTGCCATCAATAAATGATCATGAAGATTAACTGGCAATTCTCATCGAACTTAAAGACATAAAAAAAATCTCTGTTCAGAGATAACGACAGTGAGAAAACTTCCCCAGGATACAATCTTGCCTATTAGTTCAAAATACCTAAATTAAAATTAACTGTGCATAGAGATGCTATGTTAGCACTCTGTAAAATGTAAAAGCACAGGAGCAGAAATTCTAAATTCATGTAGTATGTGTTGCTAGTTTTCAGCTGCTTTCTCTTCTATACACTGCTCCAACCACTTAGGCCTAGACTTATGTTAACAAATCATCAGAACTGATTTTGCAGCATTAAAAAGAGCACCACATTTCTTGCATTACTTCAGATTAGGAAAAAAGCAGCAAAGTTGGTAAGTGGATCTCTACCATTAGAATGAAAAACCTTTTCTGCTGAGAATAGTACTGGAAAATAAAAAACATACCTGTGTCCTTAGCATTACATAGTATTTGCTCTCTACACTAAAAAGATAAAGAAACTTCCATCAGCAGGCAACTCTTGGCACGTGAGAAAAGCCTCCCCTAGTATTCAAACTGGTGAGTCCTGCCAAGACTGTTTCAAGGACCCAATGGCATTAAGAGCCAGCTCATGCTAAAAGCACCCAAAGCTCCCAACCTCTGTTTAAATGGACAGACAGTGAATAAAAACCAGAGAGCATTAAAACATTCATTACTTCAGCCCAGCAATTCCCATCAAAGCGCAATAGAGGCGTAACAATGCGCTGGCTTTCACGACATGCTCTTCCTTCAGCCCTGAATACACAGACACATTTGGCTCCATATCAACATCTGCTTCTTCAACAATGTGTGTGCTGCGAACCGTGGGAAGGATTCCCATGAGCTCCAGGAGCAGCTGCCGCCTCATTTGCCAAAGCACAGAACTGATATTATCTCTTTTTCTCTGTGTAAGAAGTTAAAAGATGAGAGCAACATTGTAAAATTCATCCCATCGAGCAATGTATTACATAGGAGTTTCCATAATGATGTAGTCAAGGGAAAAAAAAAAAAAAAAAAACAGAAGCAGGGAAGAGGAAATTTTTTGAATTACAATTTTCAGTACCAGGGCAAGAGGCAACACATGATAATATTATAACAGCTTACTACATCAAAACACAAGCTTTAACTCAACTAACTACGTCAGTCAAGACTCAACTTCCTACAGTGAACACCAAGGATGAACATATTTATCAGGTAAACATTACGAACTTACAATTCCTTGGTTTCCACGCCTAAAAATCTCTCAGAAGAATAACCAAATAGCTGCCTTCAGGGACACTATTCATAGAACTGATAGTTCTGTAAGAAGAGGTTGCCTTGTGAAGGTTTCTCCCAGACATGCAACAGGATTTATATGCATTCAGACAAATATGGGTGGGCACATCCAGAAGATTTACATCAAGCTATAAGGATATTTTTTTAAAAGCAGAATATTCAAAGGTTTTCATACCTGTTGGCCATTTCGGATAAAAGTCCCAAACCAAGTTCGAACCTTTGCGTTTGTTCCAAGTAGCAAACCACTCACAAAACACACCAGGTCACTCACTCCATCATCTGAAGATTCATTTTTGGTGTGATCCAAGGTCAAAGCCACACCAAGACCTGGCAGATGACATTCTTCCACCTAGATAAAATGCTCAGGCTCAATCATCTTTGTTGTTTTTAAAGCTCCGATAAAGATCATAATTATGATTCTCATGGCAGACTAATGACAAGACTCACCACCATGCCTCGGACCCTTAAAGCCTGGGAAGGGTTCATTTTACACAAGTGCCGAAGTGCTTCTGTTCTACGACGGCCTCCAACACTTTCCTCATCCTGCCGTTCACCATTCTTAATCAAACCTCTACAGACTAAAATACCCAACAGGAGGTGTAAGTAAATCCGGCCTTTCCAACAGAAAGCCACATAAACATAAACACAGAAAGCCAAGCCGTGTTGTCCAGCTCACGATGATTTATTAGCTGGGCCACACAAACCCTGTCCAGGCAAGAACTCGTGATCCACACTATGTAAACAGAACAAGGAAATGGTCTTTCTCCTCAGAGACATTACAGGATCATTACAGATACACGCATCATCCAATTACTACTCACGCTCTATCTAATGTAACCTGTGCACCTGGCAGCCCTGGAGACTGAAATTTTATTGGGAGGTAAGGGATGCCAAACAGGCACTGTCAACACAAATTATTCACCGTGTAACGTGCCCCAAACTAAGAAACAAGAACTGTTAGCAAGGCTAGAGCCGACTCAGAGTCCCAGTCATTCATTCACTGCCCGAGCCAGCTTTTATAAAGGCAGCCTGTGGATGAAAAGCTGCAACACGCACACAATGAGTCTACAAGTAGGCTGTAAAAAAGGGGAAACAACATGATGAGAATGGGAGTCCATCAGCACCTCTGCAGTCAAACTGTATTTCATAAACCAAATGCTCTCCCATTCCATTATTTATGACACACAGTTTAGCCCAGAATTAATTATATTCCTAGAAATCGTTTCAAAACTTTAGAAAAAGTAAGCTGGACAAGAAGAAACTGTAACTCACCCTCATTAAAGCTATCGGGAACATTGGCCACCAGAAGGCAGAGGAACCAGGCTCCATTTTTAACATGCAACAGAGCTTCAGCCACATCAACTATCGGCAACAGCGATGGCAGCTCTGGATAAAAAGTGGGTTTTATAAGTCACTGTGTTTCAAGTAAAACCTTGCTTTTAATATACATTTAAATAACATGCTCAAATCAATGAATGGAACATCAATCTCTGATCTACCCCTCTTTAAAAGAGCTAGATAGCCTTGATTAATCTTAAATCAGTCACAACGGCTTCAAAAGGTATTTTTTCACATTTGTAAAAAGTTAGAAAACACTGTAAATACAGAATACTACACCTGCTTGCAAAATGCAGAGAACATCTGCTGCCTCCTCCAGATAAACAGGACTCTCAAAGAGCTCTGAAGATTTGAGAAAAAACTCACCATTTGATTCCGACACCTACAAGACATTATTCATCATCACTGAACAGGTTTTATGAAGCAATTTGTCTAATCAGTCCTTCGTGGCTTTAACTTCAGCAGATTGAATACATTAAAAACTGTTAAAAATTTACAGCTGTGAACACAGAACAGGTAAGAAAAGCATTTTGAAGAAAAAATATTTACTAGTGGAAATACTTCAATATGGCTGGTATCATCAATTCTTTCCAGAAAAAAGAGAAATAGTTTATTGATAATTCTAAAACCATAGTAAGTTTACACAAGGAACATAAAACTCTAGGGAAGAGGGGGGCACAAAGAGGTGGGCTAAGAGAAATATGGTGCCTAATATCATACTGCAATAGGAGTCAAGAACTGGACGGAGAAAAGCCATAATTTCATTTTCAAATATGATTTCTGCACTGATGCATCACAAAATCACATTATATTTGAGTACAGCACATTGCAGAGCATACAGAGTCTATATCATATTAGCAAAGATTACCCTCGTTTGTTCTGAGGAAGAAAGAACCTGGGTTCACAAGGAGTTTAATCACAAACCACCATTCAATCAGACTGAACCTTTAAGTCTTGGTGAAGGTGATAAGAACTGAAGAAGAGTCCTCACGTACAACCACAGCACCAGAAGCAGAACCAGACAGCTTATCAACCTATCAGAGCGCATTTTCACTAACAGAAAACTTGCAAGTATCCAGATGTGGAAAAATTTACCTTATTCATAATTGCCAGTAATTCGCTCAGTACGAGACGAAGCCGACGAGGCGAATCGCTGTGTTCAAACTCCAGTGTCAACCCATGCTGAAGCTGTGACACCAAGATGCTTTCTCCACTACCTCCTCCTAGTTTGTGCCTAGCAGACAATTAAAAACAACTATTAAGTGCTGCTGCCAACACGGAAATTTTACCAGTTAAAGGAAGACAGTAATTCAGTGAGGATTTCTTCTATCGTGACAATGATCTGAAGACTGTTGGAACTGTAGTACATGATGAGATCTAATCCATTTTATCAAGATTTCATGGGCCTCTATTCCCCAGTAGCACAAATAATCAAGAACGTGCATCCACCCGACCTGTCTCTTCACCTCACAAAGGCGTGAGAGCTGCTCTCAGCCCCAGCAGCTCCCCGCACCCCCAGCCACCGGGCAGCACGGCCAGGAAAAGATTCCCGAGCCAATTCAACCGTGGAAGGGGCTCGGGGACAAAACGCCGGTTTTTCCTGAAGAGATTATCAAGGGACACGAACAGGAACAGCCAAGCCACGAACAAACAAACCGGCTGGCAAAGCCACACAGCAGACGCCGTTCTCTGCGTTACCGGAGCTGCTGCTCCTTGCTGGCGTCCTGCTCGAGGGCGTGGAAGTCCACGGACAGCAAGGCCACGATGGAGTTGACCGCCTCCACGCCCGAGAGGAGCCGCAGGATGAGCTTCTTGTCCTGGGCCCAGCTCTGGCTCTGGTCGGCGGGGGCGCAGAGGGCCATGCGCACCAGGCAGGGCAGCAGCAGCCGCAGCTCGGGGTCGCTCAGGGCGGCCAGGCGCACCACGTCCACCTTCTGCATCGCCTCGAAGGCGTAAGGGCTGACGAACTGCAGCCCCGAGCACTCCGCCATGGCGGCGGCGGCGGCTCCTCCCCGCGCCCAACTGCCTCTTCCGGCGCACGCCCAGCGCGTCACGGCAGGACGTGACGTCAAGGGCGCGGCCGGCGGGAAGGCTGAGGGGCGCCGAGCTCTCCCCCCTCCCCCCCGTAAATAAGGCCACACCACAATCAAGGCTTCATGAATAATTTATTCCATTTGAATTTTTTTTTTTTTTAAAAAGTATAAACCTTTTTCATTTCCTCAATCACAATTTGTACAACTCAGTGTTTATGGCATTCGGCAGCAATAGTGTTTGTTCCTTAATCGCTTTTTTTTTAATTTTTATTTTTTTTGTCACGATAAATACGATGACCTGGCCCATGGCGGGTGTGTGAGAAGGTAGAAGGGCTCCCTCGGCGTGACCAGCCGTGTAGGGCAGGGCAGGAAGGTGACATGTCCAGTAACGAGGCCAGAAGCTGCGTCATCCCAACCCCAGCGCGCTGCAAGGTCCTCACGTCCAGTTTACTCAGAAAAACCTAAAGCTAGATTAGTAACGTCCTGAAAAAGTGACCCTGAGGATTGTGGTAGGTCCCAAATCCAGTTTTACTGTAAATTAAGCTTTACTCCACTGAAAATAAAAAGTACACCCACAAACAATAACAAAAAAAAAACCCCTTTAAGTATGAAGCATAGTCCTGGGTCCTGTACCAAAAAAAAAACAAAACAAAAAAAAAACCAAAAAAAACAAACAAACAAACAACCAAACAAAAAAAAAAAAAAACACAAAAAACAAACCTTCCCAGCTGGAGGTTGTCAAGACAGTAATGTTATACAATGTCACCTAATTAACGAATTCTCAAAAGAAACCCAGAATCAAAACATTGTTTATGCAGCATTACTATCAAAACAGACTGATATGCTTTGCCATACTGTTGTGCAGCAAATTATATGGTGCAATAGCATTTTTTTAAAACATTTTACTCTTATTTTTGAAAGCTTTAAAATAATGCAACATAATATTTTGATATTACAGTATTAACAAATAGTGCTTGATTAAAGACATCTGCAAGTCTTCATAGCAACACATCAAGTTAAAATTACCATCAGAGGTAAATATAGAAATACAATAATCTGCGCCGTAACTGACAGCTAAGTAAGAACATAGCTGAGGATTGAAATATAAATTCATTTATCTTTAATTATTTCAGGAAATGTTAGATCTAAATGTTACAGCTACTTTAAAATGTAAGGGTTGTTTGCAAGTACAATTGGTGGCCTGCTGGTCTAGCAACAGTCTTCAGAAATCTAATTCAAATAGTTGCAAGTGGCTTAAATACAGTAACAGGTTAAAAGAAATACTCTTAATGGGAATGGAAGGACCTCAGATTCTTCTTTCATTGGATACTTATGAGGAGGTAAACCTCCATAGCTACTTAACAGCACTGCCAGGAACAGTATTTTCTTGCAAGACCATTTTGAAAAGCTACAGCTGAAATTTTCAAATACTGAGCTTGTACTTGCTAAAGAACCCAAGTTATTAGATTGTGACAATTTTATTTATAAACCAGCTATTATGTGCACTTAAAGTAGTTAAATGAAAGTAGCTAACAAAGAAGCATGCCCAATGTAGCAGCTGGCTCCACAGTGTTGGCAGGTTTCGTACGTCCACTGCCAGCCGTGACCATCACTCCAGAAATGGCCCTCCTAATCTTTTCTAGTGGTTACAATATTATAATTGACTTTAACTGCATTTGGGGGGCAGGGAGGAGTGGGAAGCTGGCAGCTTTCACAGTGGGAGAGTTTCACAGGGAAGGCTGTGGTCCAGGTAACAGAATACAGTTACACCAATGTTCAGGCAGCTGATTCACTTACCTTTACGAATACAAGTCAGATTTAACACAAAGAAAGCCACACCAAAACCCAGCCCTCGGAACTTGGCTAACTGAGCCAGGGTTAGAAATGACCACTTAGCAACAAAGATTAAAAAAAAAAAAAAAAAAGGACATATACTTTGAAAATTCCAGTTTTAGGAACACTTTTCCACTTCAAAAATCTCAGCCAAATGAGAAAAAACCTTCTGTAAGACAATAATGTGCTGTTTAATCTGCAGTGCGTTACCATTATTAAGATAAAGTAATGGACAGACCCAGTTTTTAATTCTATTTATCAAAATATGCTAACTTCTGATTGCACACATGTTATTTTGAAGAAATGACTGAAAATTTTCATCACCAATTGTACAACTTCTTTATACAAAACCAAAAACATTGCTAATATTGTATATACATGATTCAAGGAGACTGTTTATATGAAAAATTATCTCAGGCAGGTGTTTTGCATTTACGAAACACGATTTTCATTAACACAGTAAGTTTTGTAAATGCAAGCGAATTCTTCCTTGTAGACGATTCACAGCGGGTGCACAAATGGATCTTAAAACTTGCTCCTTGAAAGGTTTAAACCAGCGAGACAGACAGTATTAAGACCCAGGACATGGGTTATCGCAACAGGCTCACGTGAGCGCTGCAGGAGTTCAGTTTTTCATCTGGCAGTCAGATGAGGAACCCAGAAAAAGCATATGCAGTTGCTCTTCAGCACCCGTAGGGGCTATTTTAGAGCAGCATCAGACATTTGGCATGTGCTAGGAGAGAGGAAGGAAACTACTGAGAAAAAAAAAATGGTGACTGTAGATAGAGGGAGACGATTACGAAAGCCTTGTGATTTGTCAGTCCCTTCCTTCGGGAGGGCTAAGCCTCCTTGGCACATGCCCCAGCCAGAGCCTGAAAAGGGGATATGGAGAAGGCCGTACACTGATACTTGGGACCTTCACCACAGTGCCAAAAATACATGAAAAAGGAAAATGTTCAGGGTTTCGTGCTGTTTTTTTAACTAGTGGAATAAAATCTGAATACCAGAATTCACTGAGAATCTATATACACCACATTTTAGTTAAACACACACCAATCTTAAAGTCAAGATTGACTATTTTTGCATTTGTAAAATGGCTAGAGCTGGGCTAAATTTCAGCCTTACAGGAGACTTTGGATAAGATCAGAGTTTTCTGTGCGTTCCACCTCAGATTCATGTTTTATCGCAGATGTGGAAGGAAACAACACAGTCACCACAGTGCCAAGAATATCTAGGTAACAACAGTATGCAATAGATATTCTTGTAATATTAAAACTTGTATACTGGAAATAGATCTGAGAATCTAGCCACAGCCCTGAACCATAACACAAACTTCAATTGAAGAGTTTATTCATTTTATTCTCACTACAAGTTAAACCACCTACAATATCACTTATATATTGCCATTGTTACTCTGTAAAGGTGTGATATAAAATGCTGTAAGACCCGGTACCTTTTCAATTTATATAAACACAGTGAACTTCATTACTGTACATGTACTCTGCAACTACAGCTTAGCTGTAAATCCCCCACACACAATGGTATGGACATTAACCCCTCTATCCCCATTAAACTGTACATCAAGACAATACAAATTTACTGTCCCCACCCACCCCTTACAAAAAAATAATACTCTAAAAGCAACCTACTGCAACTTTTAATTAAGACGATTACATATATTTTAGACCAATTGCTTTAAAGCAAGAAGGCAGTATAAACCTTCTAGGAAAATTTTTATAAAAGAGGTTAAGAAATATAAGACAATTTATACATTTAAAAACTTACAATAAATAAGAGATGCAGGCATTTTTGAATACTAGATACTATAATCCAATACAAGAACATCTTGATGTTCTGAAGCCATAGGTTGAAACATTGTTCCTCATGTTTCTTCTCATCTCCATGCTTTTAATATTCATTAACCATGACTGGGTACTATGGCTCATTACTCTTCACAAATACTGTGGCTGGGGAAAAATGGTTAATTTTGCTACTAAAAATGTTATAATACACTTTCTGATCATCATTCTAAAGCGTCCCCCATAGTCAATGACTCAAAGACAGTAGGGCAAATAGGCGCCCCTCTCACAAGTCAAAACAATATTTGCTGGAAGTAACAAGATTCATACCCCATCACAAACAACTTGCACTGAGAAGAATTATAACTTAGTCCTGCAGTGAAATATCCCTTTTCCTCATTTTTGTCTTGCAAAATTCAGATGAAGATCACAGCATATTCATGATAAAGTTATACAACTGATTCAGCACCACAAAATGAATTGGGAGACACGACCGTCTGTCCTGGGTTGCAGGATCACAGGTTAGCCAGGAGAGTGCATTGTACTGTTCCAGAACAAACCTGAAAAACAAACAAGCTTCCATCAAGACAACAGCCTCTCCCACCAGTATTTTACAGTCCTAATTTACTATAATCCAGTTTCTTTGGCGTTAAAAACATAAAATAGGTTTGCCAACATCCTCAAATAACATTCCTTCAGAATTCTTACAAGCAGTTCAAAGCTAAGCTTTCAGTGTAAAACTGTCATTTTAATTGTCTATGCTTACTTAATGTCAAGAGGTTCACATATTAAAAGAAGAAAAAAATCCGATGTTTTCTCAACAAGTGTCCTATGTGTACGTAAGTCCAGATTCTTGTACATCAGGGTTTCAGTATTTCCACAAGATTGCCATGCAAGGTTCTGGCTTAACTATAACTATCTTCTACTTATTTATGCACCATCTTCTGTGCAACCTCAAACTCTCTTCTAGCTTGAGGAATTCATTGCCCTTCATATAGTTTCAGTTGTAATCAACACTGATTAGTTAAAGAAGGGCTTAGAGATGTTTGTTTTTAATTGCACTGTTCTGTGATAAAGCCATCTTTTAATCACTCAAAGCACAACAACTTATATTGTCTCTGTGATGTACTAAGGGTATCAGTAGAACAAAGAAAAAATGAACAGCAAGAAAAACAAACAAATACATAGCTTCACTGCAGCAGTATTAAAAATTAAATGCACAATATTTTTACAAGCGATCAATCATAAATACCTGAGCACATCAGAAGTTTGATTAGAATCAAGTGGATGGGAGTGTTTACTGTGGAGTAGCTCGTCTGATTGCACTGAAGGCACGTGGAGGTGCAAAGAGGCCTAAGAAA